AAAAAAAAAAAAAAAAAGAAAAAAAAGAAACGATTCAACGCACCGTGAAAAATTTTTCTTTCGCTTTCATCGCCCTATTCTCTTCTAAAACGCAAAATTCAAAAAGGCAACAATTTTTTTTTTCCTCTCACTTTTACACAATATTCGCAATTTTGTTCTTTTTTTCGTCTGTAATTACGTTGGCCTCTAACGAGAATTACTTACCAGAATCCCTGTAGCGGAGAAAGACATTGCCCCTATTGCCCATCCGCTTTCTGGCCGCAAGAATTCCTCGGGGATATCACGGCAAGCGGAGTGCGTTTCGTCCGGCACCGTACCTTGACGACAAGAAATACATTGGGTCACGTCCTTGTGATCTCGTATCTGTTTAACAAACGTAGAAAAATTTAAAAATGAAAAATCCGTCCAAGGTAATCCGCTCCGCGCTATATTTATTTCAGTTGCTCCCCTGAAAGCGGAGTAACGCTTTTTAAAGGGAAGCTTCCGTTTCCGTGAATTTAAAAAGCGATCTTCCATGACGCGTTAAATATCTGTCAGCGAACAGGCATTTCTCGAATCAACTCGAAAATGAAAAATAAATACGCAAATTGCGTTCGATCGCGAGGAAGTATTTCTTCAAAAGAATTACACGAGATTTATCATAGAGAATGGAAAATAATATCTCTAAAGGAATTTTTTTTATTAAATATCTATAGAAAGAAATCAATCGTGTCGCGTGTGATGTCGCATCTATGAAACTGTAATAATATCGAATTTTCCGATTTTTCCTCGCGAGAAAGAAAAAAATCTTTCTTCTTATGTCGATCGTTCGAACATTTAAATGTTGGGTCATCATGGTTGAAATTGAAGGAAACATGATAACAAACCTGATATTGAGTGCAATTGAAGCAATGCCAGCAGCATTGCTCGCCCGCCACGTATTTCTTTGCCTGGCCGACCTCGCAGGGCAGAGAGCACACGCTTTCGGGTGGCTCGGGATGTCCAAGTTTAAATTGGATTGCTGCAAGGAATATGCGAGTAGGTAGCGAGAGAGAGGGGAGGCGCCGTTCAATTTCGCGAGAAAAAGGTAGCAAAAGGAGGGAAATCGCGAAACGACCAATCTGTGGCTTACCAGACATATTCAACCGTAATTCACCCGAGAGATATTTGCCAACCCGGACCCACTCGTATTTGCCCGGCTCGATTTGTTTGAAGTGTATGATGTTGTATCGGGCCGGCCCGTCACCGTTCTTGTCGAATTTGAATTTGTCGCCGCTCAGACCTTCAATCATATTTCCATTCGATGAACTCGAAATTTTTGCGAATTCAATTTTCATATTCTAATTTCTTTTTTTCTTAGCTTTATTTTACAAGATTGGCTCGACTCGTGAA